GCGGCGGCCCCCCAGCGCCACCCCCGAGAGGTCCCCTGCCTGTCCTTGGGCCAGGCCCCGCTTCGCCTTCCCACCGGGTGTCCCCCTGGGCCAGAGGCCTGGACGACTCCCTGCGCTCACTGCCGCCTCCACGCCCAAGGGGGCCGAGACTCTCCCTCTGCGAGGGAGGGCTGCAAGCTCTGGGCCGGGAGACCCCTGGAGGTCTGGGGGTGGAGGGAGGGGAGGGAGGGGCACTCCCCATTGAGGTGATGTGTCAAATCCGGGGAAGCTGGTCTCCCTCCTCTGGGGGACTGGTGGTAATTCGGGCAGGTCTCCAGGCCTCACCTGGAGGCTGGTAACCCTCTCGGAGGTGTGCACTCCCTCTCCCCCTTTCCCTCCCACGCAATCTGGGGCTTGTGGGCCCTTCCCGGCGGCCGTGCTGCCCCTGGGAGGATGCGCCCCTCCCGCCCGCACTTACGGTGGCTTGGTGGCCGGCCCGGCGCTGCTCTGTCCCGTCTTGACCAGCTCCTGTCCCCGCTCGTCCTTGGGCCGGGCCAGCCCGTTCATCTTGGCGCCAGGGAGGTCCCGGCTCCGTCCTCTCGGCGAGAAGCTGCCTCTGCCTGGCGGAGGCTCATAGCAACCGAGAGGAGCCGGCAGAGCTCCCCAGGGGCCCAGCCACCACGCACCTGAGCCAGGAGGTGCAGCACTAAAGGGCCTGGTGAGGGACGAGGCAGCGCCGGCGCTGGGCTAATGAGGGCCCGGGAGAGGGAGGGTGTGTGTGTGTGTGCATGCGTGTGCCCTCCAGCCCCACCCCGGGGGCAGAATCTTGCCTTTGCATCATCCCAGCCACAGTGCTCAAGTGAAGAAGAAGAAGAAGAGATTGGATTTATATCCCCCCCACCGCCCTTCACTACCCGAAGGAGTCCCGGAACGGCTGACACTCTCCTTTCCCTTCCCCTCCCCACCACAGGCACCCTGGGAGGCAGGTGGGGCCGAGAGAGGAGGAGGACTGCTCCTGAGAGAACTTGTGACTGACCCAAGGTCACACCAGCAGCTGCAGGTGGAGGAGGAGGAGGAGTGGGGGATCACACCCGGTTCTCCCAGATGAGAGTCCGCGGCACGCTCCTCACCACGACACAACGGGTGGCCAAACTTGCTTAACATAAGAGCCACACAGAACACACATCAGACGCTTGAGAGCCACAAGACATGAACGAATATCACACACACACACGCACGTTTTTACTGGGAAATAGGCAGATTTGCTTTTTTATTAAAATTAAATGAGACTGCCAAAAATGAGAACAAAAGGGGTAAAAACAGATATTGATAATGATATTTAACTTTAGATGAGGAGGGAGGGGGGAGAGAGAGAGAGAGAGAGAGAGAGAGAGAGAGAGAGAGAGAAAGGGAATAGATGGGGGGGGAGGTGGGAAGAAAGCCAGGGGGAAGGGGAGAGCCACTGGGGGGGGGCACGCCTCCCCTTCACTTCCCCAGCCGACCTGCCGGGAGCTGCACAATACGTGCGAAAGAGCCGCAATTTGGCCAGCCCCGCACTACACCAACCCGTAAATTTGCAAGCTCAGGCATAGGAAAGACCTGGAGATTTGCGGGGGAGGGGGAACTGATCTCTGTTGTGTGTGTGGGGGGGTCTCTAGTCCAACCCCCCTGCACAAGGCAGGAAATTCACAAATACCTCCCCCCCCAACACACCCAGTGACCAATGTTCCCTCTAAGCTGTGGAGGCTTTGAGCAAAAATTCTACTTTGTGAGCTACTGGCATGAAAAGTACTCAGAACGTGGAGTGATTCAGCAAGAGGGATTCAGCAAGAGTACTTTATTAGATCAGGAACAAGACAAAGGAAACCCGCTCACAGGCCGGTTTATATGCGTTCAGAAAGCCCGCCACCAAGTACACCTAAACAGACCCCCTACTCCCGATAGGCTATTTACAATAACCGGGCGACCATTGGTCTCCTGGCTGGGAAGCTAGCCCTTTGATTGGGCCGGCTAGGATCCTTCGGATCCTTTGTCTATCGACTGAAGCTACAGATGAATTGTGCCTGGCCAGCCCGGGCAAGTCCGGGCATGTCAGGCTGATGCCTTACACGTGGAAAGGCGGCAGTACATTACATGGCATAAAAGCTGTGAGCAAGCGATTTGGCCGCCGCATAAATTAGTTTGTTCTGGAGCCCCCTCCTTCCTGAGCGAAGACAAAAATGTGTGAGCCAGAGGCTAAAAAACTGTGAGCTAGCTCACACTAACTCAGCCAGTGACCCCTGCTGATTGATTGATTGAATGTCTACCCTGCCCTCCCAGCCAAGGCGGGCTCAGGGGTGGCTTACATAAAGTCAACACATAGTTTACAATAAAACATAAAATGTAAATTAGATTAGAACCAGGGATCGTTTCCTGCAGGAGCACACAGGAGTGGAGCCGCAGGCTGAGAAGAAGAGCCTGTGCCTGGCTTTGCCAAACCTTCCTCCCGGCTGCAGCACACACACACCCCACCCCTCCCGAAAGCCTCACCCCAGGGGTGCAAAGGCTCCTGCCGGTTTCCCAGGCTCTGACACCACGCGTGCGCCTGGGAAGGCCTAGAATTCCCTCCCCTGTGCAGGGGAGCGGGCACCCTCTCCTCTCGACTTGGCTCTTTGGGGCAAGGGGTCCGAATTGGAGAACCCCCCTGTTAAGTCCGGCTCTGGGGATGGGAGGGAGGCCGGCCGGCCTGCCTGCCTGCCAGGGGGCTGTGGAAGTCCCGCTCACCTGGCCCTTGCCAGTGCCCCTGGGGAAGAGAACAGCTGTGCTCTCTGGGGATGGGAGGGAGGCCGGCCTGCTTGCCTGCCAGGGGGCTGTGGAAGTCCTGCTCACCTGGCCCTTGCCAGAGCCCTGCCGGCCTGAGATCCCGCCCAAGGCTCCCAATAAGCTGGGGAGTCTTGTGAGCAAAAATCCTACTTTGTGAGCTACTGGCATTAAATCTGTGAGTGAGTGATTCGGCTCCTGCATAAATTAGTTTGCTCTGGAGCCCCAACCTTCCTGAGTGAAGACAAAAATGTGTGGTCCGGAGGCTAAAAAACTGTGCGCTAGCGCACACTAACTCAGCTTAGAGGGAACACTGGTCCCGCCCCCATTAGCCCGCTGGCCCCCCCGCTTACCATGAGAGCGCAAACACAGCTAAGGGGGGGAGGCAACTCTGTGGCCTGGGGGGGGGACTCTCTCCAGCGCATGGCAGTGCCCCTGGGGAAGAGAACAGCTGTGCCCTAGGAGGAGAGGAGCATGGAAGAGCATTGAAAAGGGAGGGTGTTGGGTGATAGTGGTTTATAAGATTATGCATGGGATATTGAGGTTTATAAGATTATGCATGGGAAAGAGCAGGTAGAGAAAGAGGTACTTTTCTCCCTTTCTCACAATACAAGAACTCGTGGGTACTCCATGAAAGAACTCCTGGTGGGCACTCCATGAAACTGCAGAGCGGTCGGGTTAGAACGGATAAGAGGACGTCCTTCTTCACCCAAAGAGTGATTAACACTTGGAATTCACTGCCACAGGAAGTGGTGGTGGCTACAAGCATGGACGGCTTCAAAAGGGAATTAGATAAGCATATGGAGCAGAGGTCCATCAGTGGCTATTAGCCACAAGGTATAGATAGGGACTCTGGGGCAAGTGATGCTCTGTCATCTTGGTGCTTGGGGGGGTCAACAGTGGGAGGGCTTCTAATGTCCTGGCCCCACTGGTGGACCTCCTGATGGCACTGGTATTTCTGGCCACTGTGTGATACAGAGTGTTGGACTGGATGGGCCTTTGGCCTGATCCAACATTGGCATATCTTATGTTCTTATGTTCTTATGGCTGGGGGGGGAGGGGGCCCCCTGGAAACATGGCTGGCCTGGAAGGGCCTTGGCCTGGGTTTAGCCAGACAGTTCTTAGATGAGGCCTTCCCCCTCTGTTGAGCCTCTGCTCAGCCCCACCCCCAGCTGAGCCTACTGCTCAGGGCTATCGTGAACTTCTGATTTATTTACATTACCCCTACTCCACCTTCCCCACAGACTCAAGGCGGATTATCACACAGGGTAAGTCCAGAAGATCAACAGGATGGGAGTGCCAATAAACAATGCAGCAAGGGTTTGGACTTGCAGCTATCTGAAAACCAGCAGAAATCCGATCCGGAGCTGAAACGAGGCAGCGCAGGCTTCTGAGCACCACACATTAAGCAGCCTACAGAAACCACCTCACAGGAGAGCACAGTCCACAGCAGGCCAGCCTGTACATGGGCCTGTGGCACCCACAATTGCCGGGGCAGGACCACAGGGGCGTCCCCCCCACTAGAGCAAGGGCTGGACGGTCAGGGCCCCGCCGGCTGCCCAGCAAACTGCTAAAAAGGGAGATGCCCCCCGGGTTTGATGCCACAGTGGTCTACAATTCCCAGAACCTTTGAAACCCTGATGGAAATCTCTTGCCCCATTTTTGCCCTCAAACCCCACCCAAGAATTTTTGGGGATACGCTGGAACATGTGGAATGCTCTCCTATCAAAGCTATTACTAACTGAACAACATAAAACGCAAAATGTATAACTTAGCATATAACATTGTACTTTTGCATATTTGTGGGATTAAATTAAGCAAACTCTGGAGGACAGTGGAAGACAGGCGGGCCTGGCGTGATGTGGTCCATGCGGTCGCAAAGAGTCGGACTCGATTGTGCGGCTGAACAACAACAACAATCTTTAAAATAGCAACTACACCCAATACTTGATGAAGAGTTGCCAATTGCTGTACCCGGCTGGGACCACCACAGCACACTTAAAAAAAAAAAAAAATTACTATCTGAGAAGTATGAAAAATAAAA